TGCTTTGTGTTGGTGGGAGGGGGGGTGGTGGGGCGGGGGGGGGGGGGGTTGGGGGGGGGGGGGGGAAGACAGATGCTTGTCTCATTTTTTTGTGGGTTCGAAGGTGGATGAAAGCCATTGGTTCTGGGGAGCTGATGACGGTGAGAGCGCACCGTGTTCTCCAGGAGCGCCTTCTTCAGCTTCTTTCTGCACCCAGCAGCTGGGACCACAGCACCATGTGGAGCTGAGCTGCATCTTTCTCTCTCTCTCTCTCTCTCTCTCTCTCTCTCTCTTTTTTTACGCTTTAAACTCTCTTTTTCCCAGCCATCATCAGCTCTGGTTCATTTCAGAGCGCGTCCCAGGAGCGCGCAGAGCGGCGCACATTTGGAGACAAGGGGGGGAAAAAAACAAAAAAACAACAACAACAAAAAAAAACAATCAGTGCTCAGTGCAGCGCAGGCAGGTCTTTGCTCTTTTAAAAAGCAGCAGGGACGGCTGGCTGCTGGAGAGTTTGGCGCTGTCGGTGCAGGAGCGAAGACGGACTCCGCTGGTGGTGGTGGGGGGAAAAAAAACAAGAATTAAAAACAGCGGAATAAAGAGAACTTGGATATGGCTGCTGTGAAGACGTTCAACCTTCTCGCTGGAGTTGTTTCGTTGTTGCTCTGTGTGTGGAATATCCGAGCGGACCTCGGCGACGGTAAGAACCCTCAGCCTTTACTCGGACCTGCGTGTTAGGACCAGAGCTTGTCCGTAACGAAAATACAACAAAGCTGGTGGAGAGTGGATGTGTTGTGCAGCAGAGACCCGCTTGTTTATCAGACTCTTAACAACATGTGTGCAGGAAAAATTCCCTCAGACTGTTGTTGCTTTATTTTTTAGGACTCATTACATCATTAAACTAAAAAAAAAAAAAAAAAAGGCTTTCATGACCCAACTTTAAGCCCTTTTTTTTTTTTTTTTTTAAAGATCATGCTAATTTTATAACGACTATATAATTTGATTTACTCAGCATGCACAACATTTATTCGGACTGGATGAGATGTACTGTATGTTTTGTTTAGGAGTATGGGCGGTTGCCCTGGACGGCATTAGAAATGGGATGGCTCAGATTTATATTGTGTTTATGGATGCAGTGTATTTTTCTCTTCCCAAAATGTTCATTTCCTGCATTTTGATTTACCAAAGGGTCTGCAGAAGGTGGTCCTTCAGCAGCAGTTCTTATTTAAGAAGTGCTACTAAATCATATACTGCCATTACTGACAGCAGCTAACTTGCAAAGTTTGCAGAAGTTGCTGCCATTGAATCTTCCACAAAACCGTACCGTGTTTGTGAATGTTTGGTGGTACCAAATTTCCCAGTAAGATGTGGCTAAAGGCATTGACAAGTTAGCTAGTGTTTTACCCTTTGTGTGAGGCTACATAAATGTCCCAATATCAAATCAGCAGATTAAACAAAACACATAACGGGTAAAACATAGGTGTTTTACCCTGCATCTACAGGTACTCAAGTGATTTAATGATTAAACAAGTTTGACAGTTTTCTGGTCTGGGTGTGGCTCCTTAAACTGAACCACAAGATGCTGTGAATCACTGTTAAGCCATTATTTAATAAGAGATGCAATTACTTTTTCAACTGAATTCCAGGTAGGAATTCAGTCACCTTTATTTAAAGGTAATTGAGTAAATGAAATCAGCTTTCAAATGTATTCAAGTTCATTTTTGATAATGCTGTTTTTTTTAAAATCTCAAATATCACTACACCAGCAATCTGTAAGCAGCAAATGCCTAAAGTCCTGTAGAAAAAGCATCGCCTATTTGCAACTTCTCACACATCAGGGGGAAAAAAAACCTGTACAGTTCCTTTTCCTCCACAGTGGAGCTACAAGGCCACTATGAAGAACGGAGGCCGACGACACCAACGGTTCCCCTGAAACCTCGGATCTTAACGACGTGATAAGTTTTGCGATTCAGCTCACACACATGTGAGGTCTTGTTTTTTTTTACTCCAGATAGCGGTCAGGGAAATTCTCTTCCGCTGACAGTGACTGCAGATTAAACTCACATGCGTGTGTGATGGCATGCCTCAGGGATGCGTAGGAATGTTTTGCAGACCCTCACACACATGCATTTTTGCAGACAGTTGCAGATTATAGATAGAGGTTTTGGAAAATATAAGTGGAGGAAATCTTAGCCCCGCATCAACATGTACAAAAATAAAACCCTCTCCTGGGGCAAGCTGGACGAATTTGTATGTAGGACAGTATTTTTAGACGAGGTGCTCCCCTGCTTGTTGGATGACCTTAACGCCTGTGCAGCTGGAACCAGGAGCCCCCCTGTCCTCGCTTAGATTGGTGCTCATTAATAGAGCACAAAATGACGTTTCCAAAATCAGCCGCTCCACGGGGAGGATTTAATGCACCATTCACTCCCAGAAAGCTTTCAGTCCCTTGGAAAAGTATCACGTTAGCTCCAGCAGAGCCTAAGATGTGAGGAGCGGCTGAAGAATTCATTTCCCCTCCTTGCATTTATTAGTCAGATGAACTAGAGAACATCTGGGTAAAATTACACAACATCCTGTCAGCTTAGTGCATCCTTTTTTTTTTTTTTTTTTCTTTTCTTTTCTTTTAGGTTCCATGCCACACTCAGCGGTGGCACTCTCAGAAAATTGGGGCTGACTTTTTGGGTCAATTTGTGCTCTGTTGCTTTCCCCTGAATGGGGGGGGAGGGGGCGATGGAGATGTTCCACTACAGTCTGGAGTGTGTCTGTCCATGCGATGGGAGTGGAGAGAGAGGCTTGGCTCATTTAACTACGTGGTTTGATGTTAAAAGCTCTGTGTTTGGAGGCTGTTAATGTGCGAAGACTGCGGCTGCGTGTGGAATTTCCTTTCCTCGTACTCTGGAGGAGGTTGAAAGGGGTTGTAGGCTGGTCCCAGACTGCAGCAGCGTGGACGTCTCCAGCGCAGACGCCCTGTTCTTCATCCATCATGCTGCCAGGAGCTGCCTCTGCAGTCATGCACACGCTCGGGCGCATGGATGGTGTGTGCTTACAGCCAAATGTAGCTCTGTAATGAGGACTCTAATGAATTGCTTGACATTAGCTTACCGGCTCCTGTTGTGTGGGCTGCTATGATGTTTTCACAAAAAGAAAAAAAATGTAATAGTTGTTGATTAAAACAGAAAATAAAAAAATAAAAAATAAAAAAATGCAAAAGCTACGTGTGTTCACATCCATTAGTTTACAAGTTTCATGGCAACAATTCAAGCCTCGAGTCGTCTTGGTTGTGTCTCGACAAGATTGGCACACCTATTCTGTTTTCTCCCATTCTTCTCTTCAGATTTCTATCGCAGTCAGTCAGGCTTGACAGGTGGTGGAGGTTGACAGCCGGTTTTGGAAATTTGAATTAAATTCAGGCTTTGACTGGGCCCCTCAAGGACATTCAGAGATTGCTCCTGAAGCCTCTCCTTTGTTATGCTGGCTGTATTTATTTTATTTTATTTTTTCAGATACTATAGATCATTGCCTTACACTCCAGAGCACTTTGTTGAAGAAGCTCCATATTTGACTAGTCACCTTACCATCTTTGCAGCCTCGTGTCCAGTGACTGGGAAAAAAAAAGAAACCTTCCTATGACATGGTGCAGCCACCACCATGCTTGACAATAGCCTCACGTCAGTCAGTTGATGGGCAGTGTCTGTTTTTCACCAATCTTTGTTTTTTTTTTAATCTCTAAAAAACATATCTTTACAGGACAAATAGAACTGATTTAAAGGCAGTAATAAAGAATTGTTTTCAATTTACATGAATTAATCATATATTCACATTAGACTCTGTTTAATGCTGTAAAATTCAATTGAGTAATAATAAAATAGTCAAAATTTGTTGATCATAAGATTCTAACTGGCTTAACGCATCTTAACTGAAAAAGCCCTGGGGGTTGCATTGAATCAGTGACTTCCATCAAATGCAGAACAGATAGCAGGGTTACGATTCATAAAACAAGGGTTTTAATCAGCCAGAAATGCAAGCTTTTAGAACTGGAGTTGTTTTAAAATTGCACAAACCTGACTTTCTGTGCTTTTACAAACGGCATGACCCGTGTTTCACCTGCGTTGCCTTCAAAGAGCTGGATGTTGCTGTCAGTGTGCTGCCGCCTCTCACTGAGGCTGATGCTGTCCCGCCTCACCGAGGCTGTAGCTACCTCAACACATCTCACCGGCTCTTCTAACAAACAGCTGAAGCTTTATATGGAAAAAAAAGTAGTTTACACACCCACCATGAAAGCTTCCTCTTAAAACCTTCCAAACGTATTCACACCCTTGGACTTTTTCCACATTTTGTCACGTTACAACCGCAAACTTAATGTGGTTTATTGGGATTTTATGCGACTGACCAGAGGACTGTAACCTGCAACCATTTGTTCTGTAGCCTCATCAAAGTGGGGGAAGACATCTGTTCAGATTCTTAATCATCCCACATGGTGGAGATCACAAACATTTATTGAAGAACAAACCATTCATGCTTTCATGACAACTATGATTAAAAAAAATGTATGTAAAGGAATCCCATCAGCCAATTCAAAATTAGCTGCAAGTCTTTACCAGCTTTGGACATCTAAAGAATAATTTTTCCCCCCATTCTTCATTGTAATATAGCCCAAGCTCAGTCACATTGGATGGAAAGTGTCTGAACATCAATATACAAGCCTTGGTGCTTATTCTCACCTGGATTTATATCTGGACTTTGACCAGGCTATTCAAACGCTCGGGTGTATTTTGATCTAAGCCATTCCCCTGGAGCGCTGGCTGCATATTTAGAGTTCTTATGCTGCTGGAATGTGAATCAACATTGACCTTTTACAAACTATTCTGTTCTAAAGCAGAATCTCCCCACAGCATGATGCTGCTGCCACCACGTGTCATGTTTAGTTTTCCTCCAAACGTAGAGGAACAAGTTCTACGAACTTGAAGGTGAAGGTCAAGACGTTTAGCTTGATGTCATCTCCCTTCCTGATCTGTTCCATAAAATACGTAGAAGGACGAAATGTGAAAAGTTCATGAAGAGTTTAAGTCGGCTTCATCTCAACCACCTCTTTTGAGCTGGTTGTCGAGCCCCTCTTGGAATTTCCTCCACCTCATTCCTCTCCCTGTGTCTGCTATTTTTCTGACATTGCACATTTTGGAGTAGCAGACCGAGTTAGCTTTCTTATTGGCTCTCTGTATGACCTGCTGAATGGAGCTGCCAGGAATGAATGAAGGGGGTTGGGGTGTCTTTAAGAGGGTGAGAGACAAGGAGGGGCAGCAACAGCGGCGAGGCTTATTGTGCTGCCCTGTGTGCGGCGGCAGCGGGCCGTGTCGTATCATCCTCCCCCCGATCCTCTCTCAGCGGCATGAAACAGCAGCACCAGGTTCCTGCATTCGTCACGCTGTGGCCCTTGTCGCTCATCTCCACCGCCCCTCTCGGTTCGGGAAAAAGCTCAGCCCCGACTGCTTTAGAGAGCTGAAGCACCACATCGGGTTCAATAGGCTGAGAGACAAAGAGCCAAGAGGCCACTAGTTAATGATGCCCGACGTATTTAAGCCCTTCTTTAGGGTTTTTCTCATAGGGGTTTCTTCAGTCTAAAAGCTGATGCAGAGCTCTGCCTGGGTTACAACTTCTTAGAGGCGCTGGTCTTCACTCTGGCATCTTTTTCTTTTGTGA